TGTTTATATTATTAATAAATTATAAATGTTTAAAAGTATTCAATAAAAAGAAGCAAAATGGTACATAGCATAAAGCCAGGGCTCTGACGTGAACGTCGCATTTTTTTCGTTTATTTTTTAGCGTCCGCGTCAATAATACCGCGCGTACACACACGATGGGAAACGCGCGGACAGTCGTATGTGGCGGAAAAATAATTCGCGCGAAGGTAACACAAATTGATCTCTCCCGCGTGGTCCATTAGTCCGGGTTACAGGGCTTTCCAGATTAGACGGAAGTACGCTCCCTTCGCAGAAGGGTAAAACACAGAGGTAGTGATGGCATCGATAGTCTCGCGTGGTAGGTTTCGAACAGTTAGTAATCCTTCACGAGAATAAACATCAACATGTGAATATGAATATTCCAAAACTACTCGACATCTCTTTAATCACAAACTTTGTTAACAATAAAAAAAATAATATATAAATATTGATAAGACATACTATATTATAAAATGGACTTAAAAAATATATAATATTTAATAGCTTTATAAAAAGAGAATTTAAGTATTTTCAAGATACATTATATTGGCAATAATTGTACAATCTTCTTTATTTGGTTTGATTGAAAGTTCTAAGCAAGATTAATAGACTCACATATATATATAAAAAAAAAAAAAAAAAAAATATGATATAGAGATTTCAAATGTAAAAACTGTTCGAAAAATAAATTTTTTTTCAATTTAATCTATTAATTTTCATAGCTTGTGTGATGCAATGGTAGGCGAGCTATCACTACACGGGTATCGCTCCATGGAGAAGGTGGGAGAACGGATTAGGCTCGGGGGCAGAGACCTCGCACCGGGCTTGAATTTGAAGGCGTCTGCCAGGCAGGAGCAACCACCGCAGCCGGAGTTACTTGCCGTATAAACGAGCTTTCGCGAAGGTGAGGTCGAGTGAGATGAGTCCCGGGGAGACGAATGGGATCTTAAGACTGGCTCGACACCGTGGCACTTTCCGCCGTAGCTGGAACGATAACGATCGGACAGTGCTGTTCCGAAAAATGGTTTTCTGAAATCACCGAGAGGAAAGTTGTCTCGACACATGACCGGGAAGAAAAATGTCAGATGCGAGAGATAACGTATTATGTGGTTAAGCCGGCTTGGGGAGCAAATCCGGATGAACGTTTATGTGACCAATTTTACTACATTGCGAGTGAAGAACTAAATATGTATCTTTAAATCCAAATCGCGATTCTACAGATAGTCCTTCGGATTCAAACAATCTGCATCATTTCAAAATAATTAGAAAAAGTTGTAATTAATTCTCGTTTAATTAGAAATGCAAATTTTTAATAAATAAGAAATAATATTATAACCAACAGGATTATATATGATATAAAAAAGAGTTTAATGTCTTGATAAGATAATACAATCGAGCGCGAATGATTGTAAGTCTGCATATAAGCATCTGGTAATATAACTTCCGCTGCTGAGATAATTGAGAAGCGTATTTCCTGGGCTATTTTCTGATCAATTGGACGTTTGAGCAAAATCGATGGCACGATAAACAAGCCGAGACCGGCTTATGGATCGCATTAATTTTCTTTCTTTTTCTCTTTTGTTCACGATTTTCGTATCCAATTTGTCAATAAAACGTACAACAAAAATCGCGTTCGAGTGTCGAATTAAAAATTTTCGAACAAACAAGAGTAGAATAACATAGTTTACTATATTGAGTTCCCTAAAGTTAACATATATATAGTCATTTAAACAATATATTTTTACATTCTTTCCAATCTCAACAATAGCGATCGATACGGAAATGTATATTTATTTTATTTTATTTTAATACCTAAAAAATATGCATGTCAAAAAATACTAATTATATTTTAAAGAAAAATTAAAAATATCTGTTTTATTCAATTGAATTTATATTGCATCTACTCTATTAAGCTGAATAAAATGGAAATACAAACACATGTTGAAGGAACACAAAAGCGTCATAATTTATTTAGCATAGTTATGAAAGATTCGCATTGTTGCAAAGCTACCAAAGCTAGGAAATCGGGCAACACATTGTTGCAAAGTTATCAAAGCTACGAAATCGTGTACTCGCCGAGCTATGTAATTAGTATGTTAATTCATTCATCAACGACTGGTATCCAGAATCCAAGCAGGCATCCTGCAACGGGATGCTGTGTGTATTATGCAACGGATAATTCTCGACCATCACCGGACAGAGCGATATTCGTCGAATGTGCGTAAACGCACTGAGCCGCTCTCATTATGCTCGCGAGATCCGTTACGCTTTTCGCAGCACGAGCGAGTATAAATCGCCTCGTTATCTAGTCGATCCATTCGCGGACAAATCGCTGCGGGGTCGAGCGCGATGATCGGAACAGAATGACTGGTGTAGAGAATCGATATCGCGGCGCTCCATTGATTGAAATAACGCGAGAGCAACGCGCGTATCGACGTTAACCGTTCGCGGTTAGCGGTAACCGCGACACAACTTGAAGGTTTTCGTTATTTACCGTCGACGAATCACACCCGGGATCGCGTGAACGACATCGAAATCCCCCGCGTCGCTCGGCATTGGGATCACGTTTGCGTGTGCGTCGGCATTTTAATTAATCGATCGCGCGCAATTAATTTATCGGCGCAATCGACGGCGGTCGGTTCTCGCCCACGGTCGTGCGACCCATAATAATGGACCGCGAGAGCGTAAAGAGCAGCGTTATTTCATGGGACGCGACGTCGTCGTCGCTCCCCATCTACGCGCGAGCGGGGGCCTCCTTATTTAAGCTAATTGATTTATTACGCAGCCCACTAGGAGCGCCTTTCTTTAATAATCCCTCATTGGACCCGGGGAATAAGGGACGACGCCATCGTAAAACTTATGCAAGCGGCGTCTAGACGTGCTGCGCTATAATGCGGAGAACGATGAATACATTTAACAAATTAAAACAGATCGTGATGGTCATCAGAATGCGCGATATCTCAGGCTTGATGTATATATATATATATA